CTGCAAGAATGGGAAGGCAGATGCTGTTATACGGTGCTAAAAACTGCATTTGAAACTGTTGTTTTTGTAGCAGAAACTATTAAAATTAAGGCTTGGCCGAACTGGCTCAGCTGGTGGGAATAAGAAGGAAGAAGATTTGGTAGGAGCGACACTCGGGGCAGGTATACAGCCACAGCCGGAGGACATTTAAGTGGCGAGTTGGCGACACGGAAGTTCCGGGGTCCTGCGAGGGAATGGGACCCGCAGGGCAGCAGAAGGGGGAAGAGGAGCCGTCCGTGCTCCTGAACCGCGACCGTCTAGTCTTGAGGCCGTCCCGCGTGAATCCAATGGATACTGGTCGTTGCTGGAGTGAACGCATAATTCTAGACTTTTCTTCCTGTCTTTTCCGTTCGCTTCAAGTGCATCTCTTGCCCCGGAGAACCCTGTAGCCGGTCTTACAAAGAGTTATGGAAAGGATGCCGGAGGAATGATCACAGATCTAGGGGCGCCCGATGGTTCTTTTGTTCACCCGGCACATATTTTGAGGGGCCCTGAGTATGTGTCTCCCTGGGTTGGATGCTGGAGCACAGGAGTAACTGGGCCGTGCTCTCTGCTCCCGAGGAGCCGAGCCTGGTTGGGAAGGGGGCTGCGTTTGTGGACGGGGTGCAGCCAGCCTGGGGCTGCGACAAGGTGAAGGAGTCCACGAGGTCACCCTGGTGACCTAGTTTTCCATAGTGGGTGGTCCGTAGGGGCATGCAGCAGACAAAGCCATACAGACCTGCCTGAGGGAGAGGCTCAGAGCCCAGGAAGCCCTTCGACAGTTCAGGAGGTGATGGGGGCGGAGCCAGAGCACTGGGCCACAGGGGGCGCAGGGTAGGGCCTGAGGAGCCTGTGGGTCCCGAAAGTGTCATTGTCAGTAGAAAGATAAGTCACCTACTAGGAGGAGGGGCAGCACAGTGACCTGGGTTGGGGTTGGGGTTTGTTTAGGCCGGGGGGGGGGTTGGGGCTTCAGAAAGGGGGCTCCGATCCTGAAGGCGCGGGAGAAACTGAACATACTGCAAAGGATGACCAGTAAGTGGGTCTGGGATCATCGGCCACTGAAGGCAGCACAGGGTAGTGGGAAAGCCCCGACTTGGTAACGAGGAGACTGGGGCTCCAGAGGTGTCTGCGTGTCCTGGCCGATGAACGTCTGTCTGTCTGTGAACAAGAGGCATCAGCTCGACCGTCTGCGGGTCCTTCCGGCTCCGGGATGCTACAGGGCGGAGGAAGGGCGGGCAAGATGAGGCTGGAAGGGGACGATGCCGTGTCCGTGCCAGGTTGGAAGAGGAAGTAGTTAGCGATCAGGTGCACCAGCCAGGGGAGCGTGAGAAACCCGGGGAGGAGGGGGTTTCTTCGTGCCCGGGAACATGCAGACACGGGCACACGGCGGAGGACGAGGCACGCTTGGGGCAGCGTCTGCGAAGAAAGCGGCCGGCCGCCATCAGGACGCGTTTTCTCTGCGCACTAACCGTCCTCCCGGTTGTCCAGGGCCTTCGCCAAGAAGCAGCAGCAGCTGAGCGCCCTGAAGGTCCTGCAGCGGAACTGCGCCGCCTACCTGAAGCTCCGTCACTGGCAGTGGTGGCGCGTCTTCACCAAGGTGGGCTTCGCGGTGTCGGGGGAGGGGGAGCCTGGACGAGGCCACGGTCCCCGCCCGGGCACAGGGTGACGTGCGATTTGATCCTGTCACAGGTGAAGCCACTCCTCCAAGTGACCCGCCAGGAGGAGGAGCTTCAGGCCAAGGACGAGGAGCTGCTGAAGGTTAAGGAGAAGCAGACGAAGGTGGAGGGCGAGCTGGAGGAGATGGAACGCAAGCACCAGCAGGTGGGCCCGGGTGCCGCTCACGGGGACCCACCTGCCGGTGGCCGCACCCGCCACAGTTGGGTTCATGTAAACCGCAGTCCGCCTCCCCTCACGCAGTTTTGCCTTGGCCCTTCTTGGACACGTAGGTGTCCCATTTGCCGCCAGGCACGTGTTCCTGACACCTGCTGCCCGTGGGACTCCCACTGTGTCCCCTGCCTGGGATGGCTCCCGAGGGCCTCGAAAGTAAAAACGAGACCACGCCGGGCCACCCGAGTCCTGCGTCAGCATCCTTCGCCGGTGGGGATGCTTCACAGACCAGGCAGGGGCTCGGGAAGCGTGTGTAGACGACCGGGTTCAGGGCCTGAGAGACTAAGGATGAAGGCCAGGGGTATCCCTTGATCCCAGACGGCCGTAGCTGGCCCCCTGAACACACTCGAATAAGATTTTCCCTCCGCCTCTGTCAGTTACCTTAATGGAAGAACAGGAGCTCCTAAAGTCGCGTGAACTTAGTGTTGTTCAGGATGACCTGAGACGACAGAAACCAGCGGAAACGTTCTCTAGCTCACTTTGCCGTAAAGAATATTGGAGAGTTTTGCCAGCGACGTTACAGATATCTAAGCCTCCATTTCTACGGTGATGAGCACGGCCGCTGAAATCCGAGTGACCGTCTGCGGTGGGGGGAGGCGGGGGGCAGCGACCGCACTGACGCTCGGTTGTGGTTGCAGCTTCTGGAGGAGAAGAACATCCTGGCGGAGCAGCTGCAGGCGGAGACGGAGCTCTTTGCGGAAGCGGAAGAGATGAGGGCGAGGCTCGCCGCTAAGAAGCAGGAGCTGGAGGAGATCCTCCACGACCTGGAATCCAGGGTTGAAGAAGAAGAAGAAAGAAACCAAATCCTCCAGAACGAAAAGAAGAAGATGCAAGCACACATTCAGGTACGTAGGACGGTCTCCGTCCAGAACCGGGTTGGGTTTTCCGAGCGGCCCTGCCGAAGAAACAAATGGAAGCTGTGGGTTTGCGTTGTGTCCCCTGAGGGGCGACAGGAGTCCACGTTCCAGGTCCTGCCCTTCAAAGATGGCTGGCGATGGGAGTGCCCGGTGGCTCAGTCGGTTAAGCGTCCGACTCTTGGTCTCAGCTCAGGTTGTGATCTCACAGTTTGTGAGTTCGAGCCCTCCATCAGGCTCTGCACTGACAGTATGGAGCCTGCTTGGGATTCTCTCTCTGCTCCTCCCCTGCTCGCTCGCACGTAGCGCGTTCCCTCTCTGTCTCTCTCTCTCTCTCTCTCTCTCTCTCTCTCTCAAAATAAATAAACTTAAAAAAATTAAGACGTCCAGCACTAAAAGCACACACATAACAGACTGTCTTCGAGCGTCTTCCAGCGTGCAGAGTGATTCAGAGTAGGAGCATCGCAGGGCCTGAACACTTTGTAGGGGACCCTGTTTGTCCTTTGTGTTGTCACTAATGATGGCACTGCTCGCTCCGTTCACTAGATAGGCCTGTGTTCGGGAGTTTGGTTCATAAGAAGGGCTCAGCTCCAACACAGGAGGCGGCCAGGAATCAGAATAAAACACTTAGCGCTTCCCAGGAGTTACCATGTTACGGAGACACAGGCTGTCCTCCCGCGTAGTGCAAATACACGGTTCAGACAGTGCTAACTCTGCCCACGGCCTAGGACACTCCCTTCTCTTTTTCTCCTTGTCTCCCACACCCAGCCTCCCAAATATGTTCTTGAGTGTCACGGTGTCTGTGTCTCAGCCACCATTGCTTCGTGGGTCCAGCACCAGACTTTTGTCCAGGTCTCTTCTTGAATTTTCTCTCCCCTGATAGCTTACCTTGGCAAAGCTCAGACAATTCAGACGATTCTCAAAACCGCAGAAGATCTCACGTTATTTCCTTGGCAAAGACCGCGTGCAGTAACTCATCTGGACACTTTCCATCCTTCAAGGCACTCAGCTTCCCGGTGCCTCCTGATAGGTTAGCAGAAGATCACGAGACCTGTAAAAAGTGCGCTCTCATTCAGCAAGTCCAGTTCTGGGACTTTATTCTAAGCGTAAATCGATGCAAGCCAGCTGGTTATGTACCAGTCAGGAGTGTTAGGCCACGGCAGTTCCGTGCAGTTACAGGTAAAAAGAGGTTTATTGTCACGGGGATCCCTAGTGCATTACTAAGGAGTGTGTGCGGGAAGATCGACGTCAAAATACGTTTCTGCGACTTACGAGTTTATACGCGTGATTTTATGTGGGACCAGACAGAGACCTAGAGTTTCTGCCGACAGTAGTGAGCTCTCCTTGGTGGTACTGTTACCCATAGTTGGGACTTTCTTTTTAAGAGCATGTGCTCGTTTGAGAAATAACGTGTATTCGTGTGGGGGAAGGGTGCCCAGAGTCCCTCCCCCGCAGTGTCCCCAGGCCTGGTTTTGTACGCTCCAGCTGTTAACACCCTCGTGTGAAATGCCTGTGTTTCTTCAGCGTGTGCAGAAAAACAGATCTGTCCTGGGGGAGCAGAGTTAGTGTTGTATTTTGCTTGTTCTGTACTTCCTATCCTCCCCTTCCCTTCTAGATTCCTTTGGGGCTTCTCGGGTTTTGGCACTGTTCTCTGAATTTATTATCTCATTTTGTGACCTCTAAGTTCATTCAAACACATTCTAAAAATATTGATGGTAATAGGTTTTGTTTTCTGTTTTTTGTTTTCTTTTTTTTCCCCACTTTCCTCCATCTGAGGAAATCCTATCCAGAAGTCAGAATATCAGAGGTCCTGCGGTCCCCACATGGCCCCTGGGAAAACTCAACCTCATCGGTCCCTCCTCTGTTCCTTTCCGACCTGTGAGCCTCTGAGGGACTTCTGATGTGTACCTTTTTCAACCAAACAACTGGAGCTGTTTTTGGTTTGATTTTAAGATGAATTTCCTAATTACGGTATCAATAAACGCTTATTGTAGAAAACCTAGGGAACACAGCACCTCTGGTCTCCTCCCTCCCATCACCCCCATTACCGACATTTTTTCTGCTTGCCTGTATTTCTAACCAGATATACAGATATAGTTGAAATTATACTGAATGTACTGCTCTGTTCACTGCTTTTGTGAATTTAGGACCGTGCGGTACAGGGATGCACCTGACCAAAACCAGACTGTGGGAAAGAAACTGTATGACAAATGACCTGTTCTGTTTCAAAAACAAATAAATGGCAAGGAAGGGAGGCAGAGATACACGGGAGCCTAGAGAACAAGGAGTCTCTAGAGGCTTTGGAGTCACAGTGTGTGAACCTTATTTGGATTCCAGTTCAAATAAACAAATGTATTTTTTTTTAAGTTTATTTATTTTGAGAGAGAGAGGATCCCAAGCAGGGTCCATGCTGTCAGTGCAGAGTCCAGCGTGGGGCTGGAACCCACGAACTGCGAGATCGTGACCTGACCCGAGATCAAGAGTCAGACGCTTAACAGATTGAGCCACCCAGGCGCCCCAAAAATGTATTTTTAAGCAGTCTTTATCTTTTAGAGGTACAGCCTGAAGGTTTTACAGTAACACATGAGGTTTGGGATTTGCCGCAAAATAACCCAAGAGGCGAAGGGGGACCGCGGAGGTAGAGAGGAGAGGACACTGGCCGTGAGTCCGACGCTTGTCAAAGCTGGGCTGACGGGTGCGCCCTTCCGGCTCGTTCTGCCGCTGTGTTTGAAGTTTTCCACGAGAAAATGACCGTCTCTTGCATGGGTTTCATTCCCGAGTCAACCACGATAGGTTTTGTAAACAGACCGTTCGTGGATGTGTCCGTACAGCCCTGGTCCGTAACGTACCTGTGTACTACATATGATGAGGCAGGGCAGGACACGGAAGTGTGTCTTACCTTAGAAAACTGCACACGCCAGAATCCCACCCCACTTGGGGATGGGCTCACACGGTGAGGCAGGCTTGAGCCGAGACCACCCCTCTCTCAAATACGAATTTTAATTCCTATGTTATTCCCCTTCACAAATACACCCTCTACTCAGCAAGAGATTTTGTGGCACGTTCACCGTCCTTCGATACTATAAATGGCCTTTTTACGTACGTCGCACCTGTGGCTATGTCCCGAAATTGCTGGTGTGAAAGGAATGCTGGTTTTCGGAGCTTGCTGTCCTCTGCCACATTGGCTTCCAGAAGGATAGACCCGGGCTGGGCTGCAGCCTGCAGTGGGTGCAAACGTCTGCTTCTCTTCCCTGTGCTTCACGTCTGTAAAAACACCCCTGCCGTTCGGCGTTTCACCTCCCTGCGCCTTGGTGGAGGGGCGCGTGGTGGCGTCCTGTGGAGAGCGGGGGGCGGCTGACTGTGTGCTCTGCTTCCCAAGGACTTGGAGGAGCAGCTGGACGAGGAGGAAGGGGCTCGCCAGAAACTCCAGCTGGAGAAGGTGACGGCAGAGGCGAAGACCAAGAAGATGGAGGAGGAGATCCTGCTTCTCGAGGACCAAAACTCCAAATTTATCAAAGTAAGAGACTGCTTCTGAGCTGATTTTGGGGGTGCCTGGCTGGCCCAATGGGTAGAGCCTGAGATCGTGAGTTCAAGCCCCATGTTGGGCGTGGAGCCTCCTTAAAAAGTGGATTTTTGAGGGGCGCCTGGGTGGCTCAGTCGGTTGAGCGTCTGGCTTCAGCTCAGGTCATGATCTCATGGTTAGTGGGTTCAAGCCCCATGTCGGGCTCTGTGCTGACAGCTCAGAGCCTGGAGCCTGCTTCGGATTCTGTGTCTCCCTCTTTCTCTGCACCTCCCCTGCTCGTGCTCTATCTCACTCTCTCTCTCTCAAAAATACATAAACATTAAAAAAATTTTTTAAAAGTGGATTTTAGAATGTGGGAAATCCGTATGTTGACAGACTCGCTGAAAGGGGCTTCCTTCAAGAAATTCTCAAGAGTTCAGGTTCATTTACTTACTTTTTCTAACACTCAACTTCTATAGATTTGTAAAGGTAGAAAGTCTTTAGTTTTTTAGATCTTGGGACCAAATAGCCTCCTGATCCTTCAGATGTATAACATGCACGTTCTGTGTGCATCGGTCCCTCCTTGATGACCAGGTCCTGCCCGCGCACGCACAGCTGCACTCCATGTGGGCTGCGGGACTCGGGGGGGGGTGCTCAGGGGGGGCCTACACGAGTGAACCTCCCACCTCTCGGGAGCGATCGGAGCCACGGGGGGACGTGGTGCCACAAGCCCGTTTCCTGAGTGACACCACACCCCACGCGTGGTTGTGCGTGCCTTCGCTGAAGCGGTGACTTTCTACTCAGGAAAAGAAACTCTTGGAGGATCGCATCGCGGAGTGCTCCTCTCAGCTGGCTGAAGAGGAAGAAAAGGCCAAAAATTTGGCCAAAATCAGAAATAAGCAAGAAGTGATGATCTCAGATTTAGAAGGTTAGTATTTGGCGTCAGAGAAACGTGGGACTGGGCTTGTGAGTGTTTAGATTTTACTTAAATCAGAACATGTGGTCACGGCAAACGGGCGTGCCGATTACTGATCAGCTTGGGTTCAATTACATGGGCGTATTTTGAGTTGTTATCTGCTGCCTAGTCTCCAAGTATTTATGATGGGGTAGCGCTAACCTAAACTTTGATTTTATGAAGTTAGATCCCACGGTGAAACGCCTTGCCCCCTTGATGGACGCGGCGGGGCTCTAAGTTTGAGTCGTAGAAGCCAGTGGACTTTGTGTTTAATCTGACCGCTGCGTGAGGGTGTATAGGGTTCACTTCACAAAGAGACTGATGGCTACTGCCACGGAAAGTGTTGGGGACAGAGAACCCGCTGAGGGGAATCGCATCGCACGGAGACGGCAGAAGCTGTGTTGGGAAATCCCAGGGTGTCTACAGAGCGGACCCTGGCTTTCTACACAAGAACCCGGGAAAGAGGGTGGAAGCTGGGGAGGCATCCACGCATCTGCCGTGTCAGCAGCTCGACCCTGCGTCTGTGTCAGAGCAGCGCACGGCGCTCAACGCCCGGCTGTCACGTGTCCCTACAGCACCTGCGTGGCCGTGACCGTGCTCTCCCAGCGCACTGCTTTCGCAGTAGGGAGAAAACGGGAGGGTTTTTCAAAACCTATCTCAGGTTTTGTCGTCTCGCTGTTGCTTAGCACAGACGAGAGAGGATGGCAGCGGGAGAGATTTTCATAAACCATTTTTGCCAGCGCGTGGCTCTTCCGCTCAGGGGAGCACAGAGCACACGTGCCTGCTCTGTCTCGGCCGTGTGATCAGCCCGTGATGCCCAGTCTCCACCTTCCCACACACTGGCTCTGCTGGAGGACAGTCCTGGGAAGGGAGGGAGCGCCGGCGTAGTTGAAGAATCATCGCGGGACTGTGACACCTGCCCCCACTCTGTCCTCTGCCTCCGTGCCCAGGACCTGTAGTCCTGGGTCCTGCCAGGAACTCCCAGGGAAGGGGGATGGGGCTCCGGGCACACTGCCCTCGCCTCTGCTGAGCCCCTCTGCAAACCTGGGCCCAGCGATGGCTGTGGGCTCCCTTCCCACGAAGTGACAGAATCCACCCAGTTTCTTCCTGAAAATACCATCCTCCCACTGACCGCTCTCGCCTGCAGCTTGATCTCTGTGGGTTTCTGACGACTGAGCTGTAGACACGGTGGGGTCAAGGCGGTGGCCGCTTTTCAGTGAAATGGCGTATTTTCAGCTCGGGTCGGTTTCTCTCTCGAATTCGTTCATGTGGCCTGTCACTTGTCGGTTAAAGAGCTTCTTGGCCCTTGCCTTTCAGAACGCTTAAAGAAGGAAGAAAAGACCCGTCAGGAGCTGGAAAAGGCCAAGAGAAAACTCGACGGAGAGACCACCGACCTGCAGGACCAGATCGCGGAGCTGCAGGCGCAGATCGACGAGCTCAAGGTCCAGCTGGCCAAGAAGGAGGAGGAGCTGCAGGGCGCGCTGGCCAGGTCCGCCCCCCGCACGGGGCCGTTACCGCGGGCTGTGCGCTTGGCAGAGCGTCCGGGGCTGGGCGCCAACGAAAACCCCGAGACGGGGACACGTAGTCTCCTTGCGGGTGTGGCACAGGAGGCTGAAAGAGCCGGGAGTCCACGGCTTGTGTCAGGGCAGCAAGAAGCACTCGTGAACCACCGTCGGTGTCCACGCCTAGGGATCGCTGGTCACCGAGGTCCCTGGAAACTCCCCCCAGAAGTCCTGTTACCACACCCAGCGTTTGGTCTCCGTGTGTTAGAGAGTAATTCCACAGCGTGTTTTAGAAGTTGAGGGGAAACCCCTTTTCAGAAATGATCCCCTGCCAGGGGTGCCCGGGCCGCTCAGTCGGTTGAGCATCCGACTCTTGATTGCGGCTCAGGTCATGATCTCACGGTTCGTGAGTTCAAGCCCCACATCGGGCTCTGTGCTGACAGCGTGGACCCTGCTTGGGGTTCTCTGTCTCTTCCCTTCCTCTCTCACCCTCTTTCTCAGTAAATAAACATTAAGAAAAAAATGAATCCCCCTCGCTCATGGCATGATTTCCTATTGAGTTTTAAATCATTTTAGAATGGAAATCATGCCTAGTAAGTATATTTATATCTAATATTTCTTTCTAAAGAAGAATTACTTGGTTACATGGTCATAGAACTTAAACTTTACCAATTTATCATAAGCGAGTAAATCTCGTAACAGACCTCTTTTTCTGCCCTCTATCACAGTTGGTCTCATTTTGGCCAGATGTTCTGCTTTTCCTCTTGGTCCGATGTTCTGCTTTTCCTCTTAGAGGCGAGAGCTGGAATTCTGGATTCCTGTCTCTCACCCCAAGTATCCCAGCTCCTCCAGTCAGAAACTCTGCCAGCACTGAGCTAACATGCACAGCAGGTGTGAAGGCAGCAGGCCTCCCACTGACTTGCAAGAACTTCTTCGGATTTGCTGCTTCACTGTAGGCTGGACTGGACTGCCGCCCTGAGCAGTGTGCTCTTAACATTTTACTCTGGAGCGATTTTTTTTATATTCTGATCATTAAAATGAGCTTGTCTGTCCTTTTAATGGAAAACCGCAGCTCTCTGGAAAGGGGGCAGGGTTCCATTCCGGTTCTGATGCTGCCGGTTCTGGTCCTGGCTCTGGGGCCTTCAGGTCATCGACCCCCGTGCCTCCTCCCCCTGCCCAGCAGGCCCAGCCCCGGCCACGGGCAGAGGGACGTGTGACTGGGGTCCGCTCGCAGAGGGGCACGGCGGGGGTGGGTTCCCCCCGGGGCGCTGGCGGCCGCCAGCTGAGCCCTTCTCGTGCCGGGCGATTTCGCAGGGGCGACGACGAGACGCTCCACAAGAACAACGCGCTCAAGGTGGTGCGCGAGCTGCAAGCCCAGATCGCCGAGCTGCAGGAGGACTTCGAATCGGAGAAGGCTTCGCGGAACAAGGCGGAGAAGCAGAAGCGGGACTTGAGTGAAGAGCTGGAGGCCTTGAAAACGGAGCTGGAGGACACCCTGGACACCACCGCGGCTCAGCAGGAACTTCGGTGAGTGGCGCCCAGGCGGGCACCCCCTGGCGTCTGGCAGAAATGCTTCGGGCGCGGTGGCCTCCTTGGGGACACAGGGCTTTTCCTTTCGTTGTTGTTCTGAGTATTTCTTTCCCTCCGGGAAGTAATGGCCAAGGAACAGGGACGGGCAATAATGGCCAAGGAACAGGGACGAGATAGCTGTGGTTAGAAACAAACCCGTGTCTGGTGGGGGAGGGGCGGCTGGCGGGGAAGGACCAGCAGACTGAGGTGTGCGGGCTGGGATGGGATTGGGAAAAGCCACACTCCGTGACGGACGTCTCCAGGGGCAGGTGCACAGAGTTGGGCGGAGGCTTGTACCAGACCCGGAAGCCTGGAGGGGCAGGTGGGTCAGACAGGGCGGGCGGGGCTGTGGGCGTGGTCAGCAGAGAAGGGAGGTTCACGTTTACCAAACGGAAAAGAAGGCAGGGCAGAGGCACGTGCCGTGTGACCGGCAAGGCCACAGCCAAGCGCAGGCGGGAAGAGTCAGGGGCGTGTGGAA